ACTCAGGAGCAAATGACGGTAAGCTGTAAATTATCTTAGGGTCTAATGTACAAGTTAACAAAATTTAAACATGAGGACTACAGATGAAAAAAGGAGGAGGTAAAATTACGAAATGGGCCTAATTATTCTCTACAGGAAGGTGTCTTTGCATTTAGTTAAATAAAAAAAACCAAAAAATATCAACTTTATGATCATCTCTAAAGTATGGTTTTATTACTGATGACCAAGTTCACACAAATACATCAAAAAAAGAAAAAAAAAGAGCATATAAACTAGGTGGAGGGAGATAGAAGACCAAAATGTTTTTTCAACAAAAGCCTGCATGGTTTTAAACAAATCCCCTTAATATAACATCATATAAACTTTTTTATGAACATCTATCGACAAACATTTTGATGAGTATGTCTGAATGTCCCTTGGCTGAGCTGCAGGAACGGAGTGGAGAAGTAGGTAGTACAGGGACTCCACACCATGGACGAGAAAGACCAAGAGGTCCTGGACAGGGTGCGGAAGCTCTGGTTCTTTCATATGGTTTAAGGAAGGGTGCCCCCCCCACCCCCCAGCAGCCCGCATTTCACTCCCGTTTACCTCTGGTGCCCAAGCCCAATGAGCAACCTGCTCAACTTCAACCCGCTCAGGGGCCCTGGCTACAGCCACTGAGAGGGTGGCATTGATCTTGGTTGATGTTGTCTCAACACATGCAAAAAGTGTGAGAAATAACCCAGGATTCTGAACTGCGTCTGGTAGGAAATTTTATGCTAGACGGCCTGCCTAGCACATCACACAAAAATCAATTTGCCCATGATAAGAGTGAAGCAAAGATTTAGATTCCTGTCCTCCCCTTGTCTTCCAGTCACCTCGTAGGCTTCTCAGAACTCAGCCCCCAAGAGCAGCCGCTGGCCTATCTTTTTTTCCAAGTCAGAAGTAAAATGGATTCCACTTTGTGAAACTATATTCTGCTTCTATAACTAGCCCTAGCAGTCCTCCTGAATAACCTCAGTAAACACAGAAATCGTCGCTGCAAACTTTACATACAGTCGTCTCCCCTTGTCCGAGGATTCGCTTCCCATAGTTTCAGTTACCTATGGTCAACTGTGGTTTGAAATGTTAAATGGAAAACTCCATAAACAATTCAGAAGTTTTAAATTGTGTGCTGTTCTGAGTAGCGTGCTTAAATCTAGCGCCACCCTGCTCCATCCCGCCCTGGAAGCAAATCGTCCCTTTGTCCTGTGTCTCCAACACTGTAGACACTCACATTAGTCACTTAGTAGCTGGTTATCAGATCAGCTGTTGTGATATCACAGTTTGTGTTCAAATAACCATTATTTTACTTAATAATCGACCCAAAGTGTAAGAGTAGTAATGTTGGCAATTCACATATGCCTGAGAAGCCATAAAGTGCTTCTTTTAAGTGAAAAGGTGTTATTAATATGTATGCACAGGAAAAAAACATAGTGTACATAGGGTTTGGTATTATCCACAGTTTCAGGCATCCACGGAGGGTCCTGGAACGCATCCCCAATGGATAAGGGGGGACTGCTGTACACAGCTTCTGAACTGCCCAAGACCACCACTGGATTCAGAATCAGAAGATGGCCGTCTGGACAGTGTGATCAAGGACAAGTGCTGAGGTCCAGAGTGAACAGAAACAATAGCCCTAATCACAACAATAGTTAACATGCACTGGATGCTTCCCAAGTGCCTCCTTATGTGTGTTACATTGTAGTCTTTACAGTAACCCTCTGAGATGTGGTTATTACCTCTACAGATGCAGAGACAGGCACAGAGAGGCTCAGAGGCCTGACCAAGGTTACACAGCTAATAAGGCTATAAAACGAGGAGGTGTGATCAGATGATTACGGAGGTCCACACAGTTCCACTGCCATCTGTAATTCTGTGGCAATGGGCCCTAGACAAAGACGTTCCCAGACCATGTGGTCACTAAGGATTTTGCGCAGGCTTCGGACAAAGACATTCCTGGACTGTATGGTCATCAAGACTTCCCCGTGTAATATGTCCAAATTCCCACCTCACCTGTGGACCAGTCAGGAACTGGCACAATGGCCACATGTCCTAATAATAAATCTTAGCTGCCAACCTGGAAACCTCAGGGTATATAACCCCAAATCCCACCTGAGTGGGGGCTCAGCCTCTGGATGTGAATCCGCTGAGCCAGTGCCGGCATTAATAAAAGTTGCTTCCCACGCCTTGGTGTCCTGCCTCTTTGTCTGGGTTCCCCGCAATAATTCCACTTGGGAGAAAGGTGAACAAATGCCCAAACTGCTTCTCAGATTTTCTAAGAGGTTGTGCCTCTTAGAATAACACTAACATTAAGAAATGTTCTATGTGCCACGTTTTACATAATTTATTACTATGCAGCTTTCCACTCCACAAAGATAGTTACAGATTTACCTGAACAGCATGCTTCCAAAACAAGCGGACGTTTGCAGTGTAATTTCTTCCCTATACTACATTTCACTGAACAGTTTCATCAAGATCCACGTAGACACAGGTATAGGGGAGCTGACTTGGAATGGTGAAACGAAAATGTAGGCCCCGGGCAGTTAGCATTTCTGACACATGTTTAGAAGATACACTACACGCTTTAAACAGCATTTCCGAGAAAGCTGAACGCTTTCTATTAAAAACTCACGTTTTCAAAAAGTCAGCAGAGAGAAACATATTCAGGACCTCCCCCAGTTCCTGTGAAGAACCGGCCTCATTTGTAATGGTGCTAATAGGTCCTGGGGAGTGAAATCCACTGACCACCTTCACCCTGCACAAAACATAGCTAAGCGCCGCACTCCGAGACCAATTCCACCAGCTGAGCTAGCTACCTCCTCTGCAAGACGTGACAGCACATGGCCAAAGTCAGCTCTTTGGCTGGGTTACGAGTTCTCTACTACATCAAAATCCAAACAGTGAAATAAAAGTTTCAAAATCCCCATCTGGAATGAAAAGCACATGTATGAAAATCATCAGACTGTGAACTACCCATATCAGGGATTTTAAATGAAAAACTATATCTCTGTGCCTTAGAGAAGTTTTCATTTAGGTTATTAAGTCCTTTTGATCCAATTTAGAAAAGAGTGAATTATTCTTTGACAAAAACAATACTTTACATGTCTCTTTTCAATGTTTAGGCAGGTGATGCCTCCAAATCCATCTCAATACCAAAAACTGCCTAAGGAATTCAGAAATATAGAGTAGTCATAGCTTTAAAAATGTTAGAAGCACAGGTAAATCCAGGTTTTATCACCATTACTATGAGGACCAATATCTTTGAAAGAATAGTTAACAGCAAGATGACTTAATCACCAACTACCAAATATTAGGAGGTGCTTAGGTCATGAGGATGGAGTCCTGATGAACGGGATCAGTGCCCTTATAAACCCAGACAGTTCCCTCGTCCCTTTCCCCATGTGAGGACACAGCAAGAAGATGGCTGTCTGTGAACCAGGAAGTGGGCTGAATCTGCCAGGGCCTTGATCGTGTGCTTAGACTCCAAAACTGTGAGGAATACATTTCTGCTGTTTATAAGCAAACAAGAAATTACCTTAATCAAAATACATAAAATTACAGCTACATCCAAAATATGGAGGTATTTCAGAAACATAACATTCTGTCAAGAAAGCGACTGTAGAAGACCACATACAGTATATGATGGGAGTGACCGTATTTCCTGATTTGCTCAGAATCTTCCTGGTTTATGTCTGTTGTCCCCTTGTAATTATTCATAGCAACCCTTACATGCTCAAGTGTCTCAGCTTGGATGATAAATTATATAGTCATTCTAAATATGATACATTTCTATAAAGCTCAAAACTAAATAAAACTAACAATATATACTCTAGGAATGAATGTAATCAATTTCTTTAAATCCCTCCCAAAACCAAAACGAAGGGTTAAAAAAATATTCAGAGAATATGTAAGGCAGAGGAGAAGTACAGGGGTGAACATAATGCGGAACACAGGTAGGTGCAATACCAGTGATAATGATCTAGTTCTTAAGCTGGACGGTGGGCTCGTGCATGGGTCCTCATTTGATAGTCATATTTCACAATCAGCATGTTACATATGTTCATAAACTTTATATATATAAAACATCCCATAATAAACATTTTTTAAAATATCAAAGGTGTAAAATGGTAAAAAGGGGGAGAACTACCATCCATGCTTTCAAGATAATAGAATAAACTATCAGAAAATTTATCAGCAATTCAGTATCAATTCTGATAGGTTAACAAAAAGTACTTTCTGGAAACCATTCATATCATGTTGGCAAAATTTACACAGAAAAAATTACATCTAGTTTGCTGATAAAGGGAAGCCAGTTGCTTGGTGTGTCAGAATGGATGAAGTTCGATCTAAGAAAGATGAATGAGGATGAGGCAACTGACAAAAATAATAATAATCCGAAGTACACAATAAAGGAAGCAGAAGGTACAGAAGTAGAATGACTACTGAAAGAGCTGAACGCAAGAGTTAGCGAACATAAAATTCTTATATCAAAATTAGAAGGTGATGTTTGTATCAGTCACAAGGCCTTGAATGCATGCTGGCAAATTAAGACACTGATAAGTATAAATACTAAAAATATTTTAGAAAATAACTGCCACGGTAGAAATTAAATAGAACCATAAAAACTAAGGCCAACAGTAGTTGACAATCTCACCTTGGTCGTACTTAACAGAAGCATTACAAAAAAAATATCCTAAGGGAAAATAATTTTCTGGAGTAAGTTAAGGTAAACGTGCAAACAGAAGATATCAGAGTGACTGGTGATTTCATTAACAGGGTTACATTTCATCAGTTGAGTATCTTTAGGGATTGGGACTCTCGTATGTGTTGGTGTTAATTCATAAAGTTATGCTCCTGATACATGGTCCCATAACTAGATGTTTAAATAAAAAAGAGTAATGGAATGTATGTTGCTACTGATGTACACTGGGTCTGTCTTTACTACAGAGTAAAACTCTAACGATTAAGAAAGTGAGTACCTGGAATACTTGCAGGAGAAATTGGGCCAGATCGTGACTGGTTGCTTCCTACAGGAGAGCCGACGGGAGAAGGTGATGGGCCCCCAGGAATGCTGGAGAGATGGGGGGATGCATGTGGGGAGAATGGTGACTGAGCTGGGTTGCTCTGATCCCCTTGGCTGCTCGTGGACCCAGATGCACTGACCGCTGAGCTCAGAGCTGCTTCCGTCCCCGTGGGGAGGTCATCAATGGAGCCAGACAGGTCCTGCGAAGGAAAGAAATAGCATGTGTTTATAGAGTAACACGTTTGTACCAACACCTGATCAAAAGACGATTTGGAAGTCATAACAACACCCCCTTTAGCAACGACGTTTTTCTGGGTAACACCCAAAATTCAGAGCATGTCCACTTGTTATTAGAAAACTTTAATGAGGTCTTTCATACCTTGAATCCATAAGATCTGACTTATCCCTAAAAAGTGAGTACAGTTGTACTCCACAAAACCATGCTACTGCTTTGCTTGAAGTTGTCATCCCCTAGTCCAACAGAACATTCAAAGAGCCACAGGAAACAGCAGTGTAGGTGGTGACTTACCATCTGAATAGCATGCCTGATTCTTGTTTTAAATTTTATTAAACTTACTGGGGTGACATTTGTTAAGATTATATAGGTTTCAAGGGTACAATCTATAATACAATATATTATCAATGTACTGCCTTGTGTGTTCACCTCCCAAAGTCAAGTGTCCTTCTGTCAGCGCACACTTGGTCCCATTTTACCATCTCTACCTTCCTTCCACCCCCTCTCTCTTTGGTAACCACCACACTCTGTCCATGTCTATGAGTCTGACTGTATCTTATTTGCTCATTTGTTGCTTTGTTTTATATCCCATATATGAGTGAAATCATATGGTTCTTAAATTTTCTGTGCTTGAGAATATCATGCTAAGCGACATAAGTAGAAAAAGGAATGCCCGATTCTTAAATGATCATTTCCATCAATGAAAGCTACAGGCTTTGGAGCCTTTTAATTAGAAGTCAACATTGGAGGACTGTTTGAATTTCAAACGAGGAGATTCTAACATAATAGCAGTAAAAATTTTAAACAAACCTTGTGGTGAAGAATTCTTACATTTTAAGTAATTGCAAAAGTGCTATTATAACAAAATAGTAAATTTTTTTTTATACGCTATTGTAAAAATAAATCCCTTGGAGTTATGTTACTAGAAATGAATCCTAATGTTATACCTTACTTTTATAACAATTTTACGCTAAACAAACAACTTTTAGTGCCACCTAATTTGGTCACATCGCCCTCCAAGGCAGTTATTAAAATTCCCATTTGACAGGTAAGAAACTGAGGCTCAGAGAGTAAAGTTATTGTTGAAGGTAACCCTACTGAGGACAGATCGCATCTGCTAAAGATGATGACGGGAAGCTGAGAAGGGAAAGGAGGAAACTGTCTTCCGCACACTCATCGGGATGAGAGGAGGGCAGAGACATAGTTTGGTCTTCCTCGGTGCGGTGGCACTGGGCCTGGCACAGCCACCCCTGGGAACTCAGCAGATCAGCACGGGCCGTGAGCCAGGTGTGGAGTGAGTCCCAAAGGCTGAGTTCTAGTATCAAAGATATTTGTTTTGCTAATCTAGGATTAAATACTGCAGAATGGGATCAGAAATACTGCTGTCTACAAAACATTTACCATCCGAATTGACATCCTCCATTTATTCAATTTTATTAGTGTTTAATTTTACTTCACTGCTTACTCCTGGAACTTCTAAAAATAGGGCTTTGAAAATAAGCGGTGGAAGATGCTTAGGATTTGAAGAATGAATCTAGACTAGGAAGTACCAAAGGGGCCAGGTAGAGCAGAGCTGGTTAGAGTGCCCCCAAATGGCACAAAGCAAGTTCAGAATTAAGATCCTAGTCTCCCGGAAAGTTTATCTATTGATCATCTGTTATATAATTAACTTCTCATTTTATAACATCAAAATTTCCAATAGGGCCGGCCGAGTGCCGTGATGGTTAAGAACTGGCTTGGGACGCCACAGGGCCCCGGTTTGGATCCCACATATGAGGGCCAGTGACACTGCCCTCCACAGCTAAGATGCAGAACAACAGCTCAACCTGGAGCTGGGCTGCCTTGAGGCGACGGCTTAGGCTGCAGCCCCTGTGGCAGTGGGTTGCCATGGGCTACCGTATGTAGCCAGCAGCTAGCATGAGCGGCCAGCAGCCGCAGTGAGCGGCCGTCCAGAAGCCGGCGACTGATCTACCTCTCCCGGGAAGAGCGCAATGATGGTGCCAACTTGGGCCAGTGAAGCAACGTCCTCCACAACTAGACTGAAGAACAAAACGACAGCAACTTGTCTGTTCCCCTTCCCCCAATTCCCCAGCACTGTTCCCATCCCCCCAATTCCTCAATAAAAATCTTTAAAAAAAAATTTCCAATAATTAAAAAATACATCCTGAAGAATAGCTGATGAAAATCTCACAAAAAGATGTTTTTGAAAAACAGAAATTTCTTACATTAAAGAGAATAACATCTTTCTAAATAGAGAGTAATCTTCGATGCCATATAATTGAGCTTATGAATAACTTAACAGTAACAGGGTAGACTGAAAATATCACCCTAGGAAAAGTTATCATTAAACCTCTAAAATGGGGATAAACTGAATCAGATCTTCAGAAGTCAGAGAAAAAAATACATAAATATTTCTACTCAGGACACATGGCGTGCGTGATTTTGCACACATTCAGCTGGTAAAACATTGTATTTAACTTGAAGACTAGAATAGCTGGATTCAGACTTCTGAACTGAACACAATTTGTGAAGCCAGGTAGACACAGGGGAAGGTTATTAATCAAGTAACATGCTGCATACAATGTGAAAGTATTCACACTTCAGCAATCAAGGCAATTATCAGGGTTCCTCGAAACAAAACTTAAGCTAATAGATGTGTACACATGCACTCAAACTGATGTCCCTCCCACTCCAGGCTCAACGCTGGCTTCTCATTGTGCACAGCCTCAGAACTGGGGTGGGAGTGGGGTGTGTAAGAGTGGTGGGGGGCCTAGGTAACTCTTAAGTACCAGCCCCCAAGAAATTCCCTTCCTAACAGATGTAGCCAATTGATAAAAAGCAAAGGGACACACCTGTATGGCTCTTTAAATCAGGGCATTGCAAGTTGTGACCTGTAGGCTAAAATGGGACCCTACCTGTTTCTGCTCTATTCACAAGCCAAACATTTAAAAATGACTCAAAAAAAAAAATCAAAAGAGTAATATTTGTGATATATGAAAAATACCTGAAATTCAAAGTTTGCTGTCCATAATGTTTTACTGGTACACAGTCACAGCCATGTAGATGCACTCTCTCATATCTAATGAATGTGTATCACCAATAAAGGGTCAATCAGACAAAAATCAGTTGGGAGGAAATGCTTCTCGTGCTTCTTTAGAGACCAAAAAAAAAACACAAAAAACTGGTCGATAACTAGATATAAAGCCATTATCTTCTATTATACTACATATGGAATTAAACATAGAAAAGACAATATAGATGCAATTTAAAAAATCATTATTTGAAGTTAAATAATTTTATGCAAATCTGTCTTCATAAAAAACCAAATTGCTACGTTGAAATTTTTTAAATTCTTTGCACGACCTATAAATTCCTTCCCTGTCCTGCCTTAAAATTCCATGTTATGGTTGAAAAAGTGACACGGATGGGTGTTAGGAGAGCGTCATTTGGGCTGTGAAGGCATGAAAAACATTTCTGTTATTCAACAAGCTGATCAAGGAAGTATCAAGAGAAACATATAAACACGGTGGCTTTCTTAGTGTTCACATGTCATCAGAATTTCAGCGCTGACTAGACCTCAGTGAAACAGAAGGGTAATAAAAAGATATAATTTCTATATTACTGTTATAGACACGGAACTTTTATATGTAAATTATAGAGAAATATTCCCCCCTGCAGATGCTTAGGGTATCCGTATGTATAGCTATCTTAAAACATGTTAATAAAAGAAGTTCAACAGTGGTTTAAACATTCAGCCTAGTTAACAAAGAAGCCCTGTAACTAATACTCCTCTGGAGGACAATTTTATCAGCAGGGCACCAACTCGATTCTTCTTTTATAAGTACTATCAGATCTATGACGCCTGTAAAGAACAGAGACCTCACTGCATCTCATTCTAACCAAGGCACCTTCAAGCTACAGTGCTTCCATTTATCTTGCTGGAAAGCTGGCAGGTACGGTAATTGCAGGGAGAACTCTTTTAAGGGGCTGGAGTCCCCCTGCCCCACAGCATTCCTTACCTCCTTCCCCTTTATTGATGGGGCGCTGATGGGTTAGGCAATGACTTCACGGGCTCATGCATAGGAAATGCAGTATTTTGCAATGACAATTTGATTTGGCAAAATCTTGCTATTAAGTTGGGTTTTCAATGTCTGACATCACTCAGAATACTGAATACTTTCCAGCACACCAAAAATAATACATAACTCCTATCAATGAATGGTTCGTTTATTGTTGGAAAATCAGTGCCTTAAAAAAAAAAGGTTGTTTTACTTTAAAACTTAATTTAAATGAAAGTTCCCTGCATAGACTTGTCTCTGTAACCATCATCTCTCCACCCTCTGACCGTGTAAAATTTTCATTCTAACCCAAGTGACAAGTACAAGAGGTTTCACTGTGCTTAGAATGAAATGCCACCGGGGAGCAATGACGGTCCTATCAGACACTGACAAGAGAAACACTTATGAATTAACACAGAGCACAAGTATGTTTTTGATTCTATATGAGGGGACAGGGTGGAGGAGGGCAGTGACAGAGGAACGTACAAGGGAACACGCCACCAGGAAGGAACATAGGAAGAGTTTTTAGAGAGCTACGTATACTGAGGGTGCCAAAAAAATGCATACGCATTTTGAGAAAGGAAAAAACTGTACTAAAACTGTAATAATATATACCGATAACAAAAGATGAATACAAGTCATGTTTGACTTCTGCAATTACAGGAGGTGCTCAAAGTGGTTACCATCAGCGTAGTTTTAATACAGTTTTTCAAAAACTGTATTAAAATTGTATTATGATACTCAATATATACAATAACAAAAGATGAATACAAGTAATATGTATACAATTTTTTGGCATCCCTGGTATATATAAAATAGACATACAACATTAAGTATAAATAGTCTCTCATGTCTACATATTGTATATGATTTACCCTTAAAATATTTACATTAATATATATGACTT